TTTTTCATAGTTGAAGCTAGAAGGCTAAAAGTAGTACCTTTTAATAAAATTTTTCTCTTTCTCCCAATTTTTATGTAGTGTCACAGCTTCCACCAAAGCAGCAACTGGACATTGTAAGGTAGGAAACTAACATAGCAAAATGGAAATTATGTTCCTGCTGCTCTGATAGAGAAGATCATCCCTGGTTTGGTGCATTATTAGATCTGGTTCTGGAGCATGGCTTGGGTCTTAGGCAGTCCTGGCATGTTTTCTCTGGAACGTCAGCAGCTAGTGTATATAGTGTTTGGTTTGTTATTTATGTCTCTTCTCATGGTGTTGCTGCTGCAGGTGTATCTTATCCCTAGTCTGGGAGATCATGGTAGGATTGTATTTTTAAGATAGAGCTTGGTTCAAGGTGTGTGATGATTCACAAGCAATGTGTGGCAGTCCTTGAGGAGTCCTGTGATCCAGTACTTCAGCATTTGCCTAAGTAGAGTAAAGCTTAGGTCAGGCACTACTGCAGTTTACTCTCTCCGAGTAGGCCAAGACTTCATCATGGGACTGGACCTGGTGTGTGTCCTGTAGGCTGGGGCTGGATTAGTTGTCCTGGTTTAGCAGACAGGTTCTACAGGTCATAGTTTAAGCACCCTCGTGTCTGTTCTTTAAACTTCAGATTTTAATGACACCCTCCCCTCACTTGCTATGTAGCTGTTGATTTAGTTTTGCACATAGTTTTTATATCAGGCATGTTTATCTGTCCCAGTTACTTTATGCTGAAAAGTTCTTGGTGGATTGCTTGTGATTTTTTTTTTTTTTTTTTAAAACAATGAACTGTGAAGTTAAGTTGTAAGTAATTGTCTAATTCTAGTACTTGTCAAGTTCTGATACAATTTGTGTTCAAGTATCTCATGATCTTAGTAAAGTATTTCTGATACTGGTCTCTCTGAGGTAATGATTATTGACATTTTGTAGATGAGGAGTTCAGGCAGATCAAGTGTCTGTGCTCACATGAAGTCTGTGCTAGAGCTGGAAATTCACCCTTGTCTGGCAGCCTAACCACTTGGACTTCAGTTCCCCTAAGATAAAGGCATCCCAAACCAGTTTTAAGCTGTATTTAAGCCCTGTGACGTGCTGTAAGAAACAATACAGCATTTGGTTTCTTATCTTTCCACTATTTTGTGGCACTTAGCATTGAGGGTCAGGAAGGGGATGAACAGATCTCTCAATTCCCACTGAAATCATGCGTGAACTGGAAGCTGCATGTACTGTGCATCTCTCCTTCATGCATTTCTAAGATGAAATAGGGGTTTCAGCTATAACTTATAATTAGATCTCTTTGCAGTGTTGCTGACTTATTATTTTTAACCTTAATGTTTATGGTAATAAAAGGTTTTGTGAATAAGGAACTGTCTCAGTTGTACAGGGATGTGTTCACTCATCCTGTTAAATGTGGTTTTTGTTGGTGTTCCTTGAATTGATCTCTGTTACCCTCTGGTGCTGCAGCTGTTCCTAAAAAAGGACGTGCCATTTCTCGTGTAGTAGCTTGCATAATATTGACAAGGGGGAACGTCATGCAGTTCCACATTAAAGCAAATGTTGCTCATGTACGTTTATTGCATACAGTATTTAATACTACTATGTGAAATGATATGGTTATGAAGAATGTAAGACCTATTTTCTTTCACTTGAAACATGAAAAGCATTATTTGCCTCATTTTAAAAATTAAAATAAACTTTATTTCCCACAAAATACAAACAGTCGTGATGAATTTGATTGCTTAAGGCTACATCCCATGTGCTCAGTCAGCCTGACTGTTTGCTAACCAATTGGAGTGGTATCCCATGAGCAGAGCATGGTTCTGCAGTGTGTGACAAGGATTTGACCTGACAGTTTTACAGTTGTGCAACACATAAAGGCTTAGGGCAACAAAAAGAGGCCTGAGGGACTGCGTGGCAGAGACCTGTGCTGTTTCTGCTGCCTCTGTGGAGAAAATATCTAATGCTCTTGTCAAGGAAAACTGAAAAGCTGTTTTCTTTTTCCCTTTTTCTCTCCCCTGCATTACTTGAAAGTGACTAGATGTGGAGTTTATCTGTACTTTTACTTTGTTAAAGACACTGACAAACCAATTGCGTTTTCGTTAGGGAAATACATTAACTTATTACTATTGGAAGCCATTTATTTTGTCTTTGGTAGGTTATTTTGCCTTTCAAAATGAAGATGCTCGCATTTTGGGCTGTTGCTCTGCTGTAGATTGGCATGGGACATTCTGTTTTCATCACCTGTTTAATGGTTTTAATGTAATTTCATAACTTTATGTGTATAGTTACTGATTTCTTCAGGGATCTAGTGAACTTACATGTTATGAAATATTGCTGATCTAACACTGAGACAAATTACATCACACAAGTGTTTGAGAGCTTGTAACCTTACATGCCTAACCTGCTGCACTGTAGAAATGATAGATGGTTGTTTAGCAGGGATGCTCAGTAGGTTTTCTTTGGTTCAGTCTTTAAGATTGTTCTGTTTTTTTTCTGCATAACCCAATTGCTGTAAATTATAATATGAAAAGTCAAAAGTGACAAATATAAGTGAATTGAAACTGCATAAAATCTAAATATGCTATATGAAAGTGCTAAGTAACCCCAACAGCTAAACAGAAAGGAGGTCTTTGAATAGTTTTGAGGATATTTCAATTAATTTATTAGTTAGCAAAACAGAAGTTTTAGGGTTTTTTTGCTTATAAGCAAAGATATGTTTGTTGCTTTTATTTTCATAATGGTGTAGTGGTTGGAACTCAGATAACCTACTGAATTTCTTATTGCATGTTTTCTGCTTTGGTCCTGTGTTATTTTATTCTAAAAAAAAATGTCAGGAATTATTACCTAGAGGCTTTCAGTTATAGCTCGTGGCTTGCCTCTCTCTTTGTTATGTAATAGTGAAAGCTCAGCTCAATTTGTCTGTTATTCTGGGAGTTACCTAAGCATTTAGGTATTTCTTTAATAGTGGAAAGGGGTTTCCCCTTTCTGTCAGTATACGTAAAATTAAATGTTGTTTTTCATGTGTCTGTGTTCCCTTAAAGCAGAATTTACCTGGCCTGTTGGAGCTAAATGGGTGGTACAAAGCTTCATCCTGGTGTAGAAGCAGTGACATGTCATCTCACACTTAACCTTGCTTCATGTTCCACTTGCAGCGTGCTTACATCAGGCTAGTCTGTTGATGTGTGCTACAATATTGGTGGTGTATTTCACAACTGTAACATGGGTGTGCAAACCAGGTCTCCTAGAGGTGAGGAGTGAATTGCTTCCCTGGCAGCAACTTGTCTGGCTGCTGGGCATTGTTGCTGCATTCACATTAGTGCACACGTGCTTCACCTTTGGCTCTTGAAGACCATTCACTTGTGAACAGGAGTGAATGGAGTTGGCTTGTGTCAGGCACCTGCTTCTGCCCTGTTACCAAGGGCAGCACCTGAAAGGTGGGAAGAAACAGGTGGAGAATTAAGAGATGCAGCTAAGCATCTGAGAGGGGCAGTGAGCAATAGCAGGAAGAATGTGAGAGACTGGAAGAGAAGGCAAGAGAAAATACAAGTAACAGATAAGGGGAAGGAATGATCTGAGTTTGAAAGGAAATTGGTATGGGGAATGTGTTTGTATATCTGAACAATAGCATTCATGGAAAGCATTAGCGTTTTCATCAGCAAAAGCAGTTTTAAGTGCCAATATAGTCAAGTCCAAGATTGTTTTTAAATTTTTAACAGAAAAAAAAACAATTCTGTAGAAGGAGAGGCCTCATCTAGTCAACCAACTCTCAGTAGCATATTATTGCTATTAAAAAGCTTTCAAAATGCAGACTTTTTAATTGCTACTGGCTGAGTCAGAATAAAACTTTTGCATTTGATTTACTTGTATCAGTAGAACACAGAATGGTGGAAAAAAGGGAGTGAACTGGAGATAAAGGAAAACATTATTTAAAGATAGGATTTAAAATAAGATTTTTTTTTAATTTTTTTTGTAAAAGACTTTATAATGGAGACTAGGAGTTGTAAATCACCCATTAAAAGCTTTGTCTGAGAGTTGGATGAGGAGTTCCTCGGAGCTGAGTGGGACGGATCAAGAGATACCTGTGTTCCTCCAGAACAGATTCTTATGAACTTGTGGTAGCTCATGCTTGTGAGAGTTTGGGCTGCAGCTTGTAAGGAGCTGAGGGGTTTTATGCACCTGGAAGAGCCTTAGCTGAAGAGCACTCAATGGATTCCAGGAGCTCCTGTTTATCTTAATTTGACAGTGCTTTGACAAGGAAAATCTGAATTAAGAGCTTTCAAGGAGATATTGCTGCTGTGGTTGGTCTTCAGTGCTTTAGTTTTTGTCTTATCACCCCCTCAAAGTGTCTCTTTAGTCTGTTGTGGGCTCTGAGTTTTACCGAGCTTGTAGTAGGTCCTGTTCACAGCTGAAATGCTTTTGGAAACAGACAGCTGGTAGGTACCATAACTGACCAGTTGTTGAGAGAAGTTCCAAACAATGCTTTGGCTTCTTCAGAAATGGATTTAAATGCAAAGTCTCCAAAAGAAATTAACTTATCTTTCTTGTTATCTTTTGGGCTGTTTACTTTTTATTTGACAGGCCACTTACTGCTTAATGTGTGGCCTCTAAAACATCAGCTGGGAGGGAGATAACTGAGCCTGCCACCTCAAAGCAGCATGTGGTCTATTGTACATGTGCAGCAAACAGGGGGCTTGTATGTTGGAAATCTGACACGTTTGGGTCTAGGGGGATCTATGGGCTAAACCCATCCTCTTCGGCTTACAAACACAGATTGGGTTCATGTATTGCCTTACAGACTGGGTGTTAATAGGCACTATCCTAATTAAACGCCTGGAGTATTTCTCCTTTCTGGCATGGATATAGAGGGCTCTAAAGAGCAGCAGAGGGCGGATGTTCAGCAGTTAAGTTACATGTTTAATAGGAATATGTGGTCATATCTCTGAAACTACCTACAGTAATCATGTTGCTTATTTCTCAAGAGGATGTCGTTCCCTGTGGATATGTTGAGCAGCTACAGTCATGAGGACTTGGAGAGTTCAGCCAAGGACTACTTGTCTGACCTTCGGTGTAGGAATCCAAACTGTCCTGAATTCCTGTCTCTGCCAGGCCACGGCAAAGTAAGAACCAGTGAATACCTTAATCCCAGTTTTCTTGATATACTTGTAGATTTAAAAGACTTTAAATATCTGTTCCTTAACTATTGAATTACATAATTATTTTATCAAAACTTTTATATTGTACGAATTCCTGTTTGTGTGTTAAGCTCTACTTTTTTTTCATTCTGTAATTTGTGTTTACTGCCTCTAGGCAATTGATTTGTATGCATCAAGTAATTTTTGAAAAAAACTTAAAATTTCAACTGATGAGTCAAATGCTTTCTTAAAAAGCACTAAGTCATGCAGTCACAAAAATCTATCATAACTAGGGGGTTCATGATATACTGAAGCTAACTGGCTCTTTTTGTATCTCAGTCCTTCAGTGTTCTTCATGGTTGGGTTCAATTCTTGAGCAGCAAGTTTCACTAGTTTCTTTTTATCTGAAATATTCCCCCCTGTTGTTGGGAGCTCTAGTAGAGGCTGGCCTGTGACACTTCATGCTTTAAATAGTTATCCCTTGTGTGATAAGTTAGTCAATATTGGTTCTGTCTACATTAACATTTTCTATTAGGACTAGTACCAGTAAAAGCAATGTTGTATAACTTTAATGAAAAATAAGTGAGCTGAGGGGATTCTCTGTGGCAACAAAAGGTCAGTGCTGCAGATTCCTTGTCAGAAGCAGAGTCTTGAGTACTTTCCCACATTTCTGAAGGTGTTGTATGCCTACATACTTGTTTGTACTAACACCTTTGTTTGTGGCATAGCATATCATAATCTTCTTAAATTGGGTAAGCAAGTTTAAACACCACCATTAATGTCTGCCTAGTTTTTATGCATTCATTAAATGTTGAAAACACATGATTTTAAATGTAAAAATGCATTTCCACAAAGCTACTCGGCTCCTGAAGGGTGGATTGATTTGACCTCCCTCATGTTGTTCCTGAGGGGAAAGCAAGCAGACAACTTAGGAATTTCTAAAATGTGTGCAATTTAAGGGAAGAAAACCCCTTTGACTCTAGCCTTCCCACCCTAGCATACTGGGGCTCATGTTAACAAACAGCAATTTCAGTGTGCCTGTTTGTCCGTGCTTGACTGCCTGCCTCATTCTTCTGTTGGCTTTGATAGCTTGCATAGCTGGGGCAGATCAAATGAACATACTGCTGGCTCTTTGCACACCTTAATTCAGTTGTGCACATAAATGCAAACTGCTGACAGCAGAGAGCTTTAACAGTGTAAATTACCGTAGCTAAATCTGCTGGAGCTTGAGAGTCAGAACAGTTTATAATATAGTCTGTCTTTAGGAAGAAATGCCTGAAGTAAGGGCAGAGGTCTGTTGCTTGTCCTTTACAATTAACTGTTAAGCTCTTGATTTTCAGCATTCATCTTGCTTACCCTGCTAAACATTCTCTGTATGTCTTACTAATGTTCTTTTAGAAAGAGTATATTGAAATATTGTACAATCTTGTTTCAGGTTCCTATTAGCTTGTCAACTGTGGGCTTCGTTCCTCTTTATGGTGAAGAGCTGACACACAAAGTTCTTGCTTTGTTTGCACCAGGGGACTCGCTCACAGGTTTCATTTTAAGATTTTAATATCTGTTGCTGTTTCTTTTTCTGTGACAAATACATGTAACCAGGCCCTCATTCCATGCTAGTGTAGCTCATAACTTTGCCACTTCTGCATTTGTTGTTCACTGCATTCTTGTTCCCATACTATTATTTTTGTTGTCGATTCATATACAGAGGTGGTAGAACTTTATATGCTAATCAGGGTAGAACTGGACCCAGTGAATTCAGAAGATATGTAGCAAAATAACAGTGCTCATCTGAATCCAAGTACAACATGTATCTCTTGATCTCTTTATGTAGTCCTCGCCTCTCCAGAAAGAATTTATTGAGCATTCATAGAATCCATTAGTTTGCCCATTAATTTAGATGCTCTTTATTAGCAGTGATTGATCAGCATGAAATGTGTATTTATCTTTAGCTTTAGGTCCTCACATAGCTCTGGTTAAGGTGGCTTCTCACTGATTTGGGATTTTTTTTCTTCCTTTCTCTCTTTTCTTCCAGTCCTCTGTATTTCCTTCTTTTTCCTTTTAATGCCATGTATATGATTGCCAAGTTTGCCACAAAAGCCCATAGATCAAACTCTTCCTGATTGCTAATCACAGGGCCATCAGCCTTTTTACATTCATCTGACTCTGTAAAACTTGCACAGTTTCAATGTCAATATCCATTAGCGACCCAGAACTAAAATACATGTATGGATGGGACTCTTCTTGGCACGCCCAGTTTTTAGTGGAAGGAGATGCTAGAGCACAATGATGAAGGATAGTGCTTATGTCTGAAAAACAGTTCCTGTATGTCATACTGCACAAAATCTGCATTTGTTTTTATTGTTTGCAGTTTTGAAACAAGTTTTGGATGAGGGAGCATTGCATATGGGGGTGTATATGGCACCACATTTGTTGTGCTAGGGTACTAAGAGCTGCTTTAATATAGTGCCAACTAGAAGATGCTTAATTTGGTTACTGCAGTGTTATTCCTAACTGTTTAGCAGCTTTAATGAATATGTTTCTTTTGGAATGTTAAGAATCACTAACTCTTTATTTCCCCTTGTTTCTTTCAAGCTGTAGCCCTGTATCTTGCTGACCAGTGGTGGTCAATTGATGACATTGTGAGAACATCTGCCCCTGCTAGACAGGGGCTTCATCAGGTAAAGCGCTCCAGCGTTCACCTAGCAATTACTCTTATCCTTCAAGATAATGGCAAGTAATGGCAAATAGCTACTGTGAGATGTTACATGTTTTCATTTCATTCAAAAGTGAGTTGGCTGTCTCATGTCAAAAGCAAGGTCAGTGGGAATAGCAGAATAGGTTCTAGCGGGGAGGGAACTTGGTTGTAAGGATAGTGTCTAGAGCAAGAGTTACTCTCATACAGTAGCTTCGTATGTAAGCTGTTTAGATGTTAACCTTGTTAAGAGTTTTTTCTTTACTCTAGAACATTTTATGTCTGGTTGTATTAAATGTCTTAGTGGTGCATTGTACTATAGCAGTACCCATTGGTCTTATCAAGAGACTAGTAAGCTAAAAATATTGTTGGGAACCTGTTAGATAGAGGCAAGTTGGAGCTGGTGGCTTGCAGTGGCAATACATGAAGTTTGGGAAAGTAAGTTGCCTGGCATCTGTGCTGTTGCTCGTAATTGAATTTTGTTACCATTACTGACACTTGTGTAGTGTGGAGTTTTGGTTTTTCCAAAACTATATTTTTCCATGAGTGTAAATTACATCTGCTCATGGAATCTAGGCACTCATCTTTGATTTTTGTTTGTTTGCTTGTTTGATTTTTTTTTTTTTTAATATACTCTAGAGAATTTGGTCTGTAGCCTTGTTTTCCTTGCTTCTTAATGGTGGAATGGTGATTAAATCAGGAAAGCTGGATCTTTTATAGGTAGGGTAGCTGAGAGACTGGGCTCTGGGAATTTTTCCTTCACAGAGAGTACGATAGTGGTAAATTCAAATTTAATATGTAAAAGGAACTGTGCAGGATAGAGAAAAGGACATCGAGTTCCTTGTTTCATGCCACAGAAACAGTTGTAACTAGTTCTTCCACTGGATTGTGTCCTGTTATCTGCCACTCTATCAGTAGTGACTGAGTGTGCCAAGTCCTCCTACCCTTATAACTTCTCCTGTGTAGGACTCCAGTTACCTGCTAGCCTGGGAGGTCTGAGGCTGGTGTACTGCTATGGTGTTGGGTGAATTTTTCTTAAATCAAGGAATAGTTTTTAGTTAAAATAAAAAAATTCCCCCCACCATCCCACTCCCAGCATTTCTCAATCCCAGCATTGGATTAGGAGAGACATAGAAGTTGTGAAATATCCTCTGTTTATGGTAGTGCTTTATACTTAACTTACTGCTATGGCTTCCGAGCATCTCCTTGCCCTCAAACAAACACCAGAGCTTCATCCTTGCTTTAGCACTTACAGCTTCTCTTGACTCCATCTGCAGCTGTGTTAACTGGCAACTTTGAAAAATAAGGTCCCAGATGTGTATTAACTAATCTAACCAGTCTTCTAAAATGTTCTTCCATGTTTCCTTAGGTGAAGTCTGTTGGAGAGAGGGTTGTTCTCTATGTCCTGAATCGAATTATCTATCGGACACAAGAAATGGAAAGAAATGAGGTCCCTTTTCTCTGTCATGGTAGCAATGAATATGCTAAGATCATGTGGAAAAAAGGAGAGGCTATTGGGTTCTATTCTGTTAAACCTAAAGGTAAAGCACTTGAGTATTGTGGAATTTATGGGGGTAGAAGACGGGAGATAGGAGCTTATTTGAAGACTATTGTATTTAGTAGAATTTACAAGCCTTGCAGGCTTAATGAGTTGGTGTTTTCCTGAAATCATAAGACATCAGATTGCAGTAAAAATTTCTCACTTAAATGCTTATGTGCTTTAGCAATCTAAGAAAGTTCCTAGATTTCTTCATATTTTAATATATTTAAAATAGTAGAAATGAAGTATAACCAAAAGCTCTTTTTTTTTCTGTAGAACAATTGTTTATGGTTGGATTAGGCTGTGTTTGGTTTTTTGGGGGTTGTTGGGTTTTTTTGACCTAGCTCCAGAATGCAGAGATCCTGTTTGTCTGAAATCATTAGAAGCAGATGGCATTATTACTTAAACATTTTATCGCATAACAGCGTAGAAACTTTGCTCATAGGCATAAGATTCAGCTGCGCCTGGTGATAGCAAAAAGAGATTCCCTTTCCTTCCACACATGTGTTCCCTCAGAGATTACAATTTAGCTGGCAGGTTTACGTTATTAATGTTACAGGCTTTCTGTCATTTTTCTGTTTTTTAAAACATTGTAATTTTCTTTTAATTATTTTGGAATTTATTATGTTTTTCATTTTCTGCTGAATAAAATTTAGGTTTTGGGTAGACTGTGTAGCACTGTGTTACTACTTTGTCAAATATCAGTATTTGGATCAAGGAGAAAGTCTGTCATTTTTGTTTCATCTCTAGAGGAGGTTAACTAACTCAGGACCAATGATGGTACTGAAGGCTTGCTGGAGGCTTCCTCCATCTAACATACACATATGCACACATGCAGACTGTTAAAAAAAATAAATAAAATTGTCTGGGTCATTGGCCTATTCTGGTCTGGCAATCAAGATAGGAAGGCAACCAGCTAATTTGTCCTGATTGTTTTTGTTATCTTTGTGATTTTTTCTCTTTTTTATTAAAAAAAATTAAAAATTGCATTACATAATTTATATGTCTCAGTATTTTTAATGTGACAATTGCTGTAGCGTGGTGGTCACAAAGTAGTATTTACATTCCAGTGCTTTTTATTATGGCCTCATAAAGCTGGAAATTAGAGTAGTGATTCTATTTTTAGTCTGGAATAGGGACATGTCTTTATGTGGCACTGAAGTTCTGCTATAGTTCTGCTCACTTGTTACATTTCTCATGCTGCCCTCTCGTTTACTTGTCCTGAGTTAGCAAACACTGAAGGCTAATCTTTCTAGGCATGATCAGTATTTCACCCATGTTTGGTGAAATACATGTGTGCTGTATTCTCTGAATGAGTAGTCTATGTGGAGAAAGACAGCTCTGGAAACAGATGGTTTTTTGGAAAGAGTGGTGGAGCTTGACTGGCATCCCAATGTGTACCCAAGTAACACAGCCTCTCTGCCCATGTTTTCCTTGCTTGAAAATAAAGACAAATATGTTAATTGATTTCAAAAGTGCAAGGTTACAAAGACTAACTGTGTTGTATGGCCAATTGTATGCTTTTCTTTGGTCTTGTTAAGAGGAAGGGGCAATTTTTTGTCAGAGTTCACACTGACTCACAAAATGAGGGCCTGAAAATGGATTAGATAGTTGATGGGTTATCTTAATGCCGTGCTGTGGCATCCCCTTTGTCACCACTGAGTCAATAGCTACCCATTGAATCCTCTGATACTGAAGGACCTATGTGTTGTGACAGTCTGTTTCATCTTTGTTTAATTATGGAGCCGAATTATAGTCTTCATGTTTGTCCTGAGGAGTGATATGATCTACATAAAAGTGCAGTTCAAGGATTTTATTGTGTCATTTTCCCTCCTTCCTCTTTCAGCTTCATTTTTAGTGTAGTTTTCCTGTGCAATTGTGTAGAGAGATTTCAGAGTGATCCTCTCCTCTCTATCTCTGCTATTCTTTTCTTGTGCAGGCTTTTTCTAACATATTAATCTATTGATATATCTTGGCAACGTTATGAAGCTTGTCCAGAGAACCAGTAAATGTCTGATAGCAGTTATTTTTAATGAACATTAGAAAATATTTTTATAATTTTAAATATAATTTTATATGATTTACAACTATGTAGTTTGGTATACTTTTAAAAAATTACTGAAGTGTTCACTTGAATGTGCTAAAATCCATACTGTAGCATGTCAATGCTGAAGTACTGATGGATGTTTTTTCCCCTCGTATTATTTCAGGAAGTGCTTGTAGGTCTTATCGTGGTCAGAATTATAGGCTGCCAGTGCTAGACACAATGTTTGTAAGAAAGAAACATCGTGGGAAAGACTCTGGGCTAATCATACTGGAAGACTTTGTGTGTTCATTTACTGAAAGTTCTCTCGGCCTACGATACCCGCTGTCAACCTTCATGTACACAGGCAAGCTCTTCAGTTTATTCTTCTGATCCTCTTTGTGCTTTCTTTACATGTCCAGTGTCATCCAAATTCCATGTTTGTGGCTCCAGCCTCGGTTTTTGTGTTTAGTGTTCTACTCTTCAGTGAAGGTTAAAAATCCTGATTTGTTTCAGATGGTGCAGTAGTTCCTGATTAGATTTTTAATCCTCTACACGAGATCAGATTATTGGATCTCTGTTGGCTTCCTGCTACTGTGAAGTTTACCACTGTATCCCTGCCTGTGCCTTCAGAATGGGCTGAGGCGTTTCTGTGTGTAACCCAACGTATATCTTTTGTAGTACCTTTTTCTTACTCACTCCTAAGTCTTACAAGGTCATGTAAATCATGTTTTCTCAGAACTTCTGGTCAAATGGACATACTAGGCCATGGTTTAACTTGGGTGTAGGGAGGCACAGTTCTAATGTACAGGGAAACACTTATGGCTCTTCCATTGTCAACCCGAGAGGGTTGTGTTATCCAGATGACACGCATTCTGGAAACGGTGTTGCCTGGGACTGTTCAGTCAAGAAGTGTGTTTCCTTTGCCCTGTTTCTCAAGACTGGTCCTGCTCTTAGGCTGTCTGCCAGGCTTTCTTCTATGGACATTTTCATCTGGCCTTCTTAACTGCTGGAAATTTTTTGCTTTTCCAAGTATACCACTATCAGTTGTTGTATCTGACTATACCTGATCTGTTAGGCTTCAACCAGCAAACTGTCTTGAGCAGAATTTAATGACTAATCCATCTCCCTGGTCAAGGAATGATATGACAGGGCTCTTGTCCACTGACATTATGCATCAATAGTGAATCAAGTGAAAACCAGTAGTTTTCCTGGTAGCTACTACAGAATAATGTAAAACCACGACTCTCCACATTGGTCTTTATTATGTATATTTGGAGAAAAGAGGTGGAGGGACAGCAGAAAAGAAAATATTCCAGAAGTGAACAGTGGGTGGATCATAAACCATGCAATGGTAACATGTTTGCATTCCCAAAGAGCGCTTTTCATTAGCGCCTATAATAACATGGGGTGACAAAAATCACTTGACTATATGCTCTGCCCAGGAGCCCTTCCATCCTGGGTTGGGTGTTGTGATTGGCAGGGACAGTGACCAGTGAAGCTGTAAAACTTGAGTGGATGCTTAGAGAAGAAGAAAATCCCATCTACCTTTGTTTACAGTTTTAAGATAATGGAAAGTGTTTAAATCTGAAGAAAGGATTTATTAAGAAGGATGAGTAGGGTAAAACAATATCGTGTTTATTTCAGACTCAACTGTTTTGTTGAACAGTTCTTTCTGTAGTGGTTTGTGTGTATGGTAGAAGATTGCAGATTAATTTGATTTCAGATAAACTTAAAAACTGAGGTACAGCCTATTGTATACTATATATAAGATAGTGTGTTTTCTTATCTTTGTTCAGCTTGTAAGCAATATCTTGAGAAGTACCCTGGGGATCATAACCTTTTGTGGCAAGTGGAGGGAGCAGGAAGGTGGTTCCAGAGAACATCTATTATGTCTATATGGCAAAAGGAAAAGCTCAAAATTGCAGGTATGGATGCTTTGTTTTGTTGTTTTCTGACACTTTGTAAAACTTGAACAAACACTCTACAAGAGTGACTTCTGTGAGCACTGCCTCTGCAGGCTAGCAGAAAGACTTTATTTGTCCTGAGATCTGTGAGATCATATTTGGAATAATTAATTGTTATATAAGGGTGCTATAATTTTCTATTTCCCCATTTCCTCTTTTAAATCTTAACAACAGAGGCCTCACAGAATGAAAATAAGAGTGTCCAAGCAGAAGGTAATTTTCAGCAGTCCGCAGCAGCATCTGAAGCAAGTGGACAGAAGATTGAGCTAGAAACTCAGCTAAATGTAGGTACAGAGGCTGTTATCCATATATTAAAAAGGCTTGAGAGCTTTTAAGTTTTGTGTACTCATACAATGTATCTTGTCCTATTTTTCTGACTTTAATTACCTGTTCTTCAGGAAATATTTTTAATTTCTACAAAAGAATATGTTTTTGAACTTAAGAAGTTAAGGATTTCAGCAGATTAGTATGTCTGGTCAACTGTATGTTACTCTTGCACAATATTTCTATTTCACATTCTCAAAGAGCAGTCCTGGGTTATGCAGAGAGCTTGTACATTTGGTATCTCTTCACTTTATGTGGCAGCCAGTCTGACAGAACCATGGCTTTTACCAGAAAGTGATACTTTTTTTTTTTTTTTTTTGTAACAAAGCAATAAAAACCAAGTATGATGCTTTTTGTCCATTGTTATGATTGAGTTGGCTCAGGTCTGCAATTATGTATAGAAGACAAATGTTTTTGTTACTTTTCAGGTGGAAGTTTTGCTTCCTATGTGTGTTCTGTGGCCACACAGAATGTGCTTGAGAGTAACTTGTAGCTCCAAGTA